CCTCAATTGACCGTGAACTAACGTACCTGCGATGGTCATGTATCTTGTGTAGTGGGCGTGGTTTAAACTGAAGTGGCGTCACACTTACGAACCGGATACTCCATGTACTGTGTGGACGCACGCACGACGAAGTTCAACACAGAGAGCCTTGGTTTCGATGCAGATATGCGCAGACGGTGCTAATGTGAGATCCCTCTATTCCAAATAAACCTATATTCAGCAAGTTTGAAGTTCTCATGTCTGTTACCTAAAAAAAGGCCAAATTCCAAGCACAATTATGAAATATACTTTACCATATTTACTTGTAACGGGTCTTGTCTGTTTTCAGTGGCAAGAAATACTTCTGGTTATGTCCACCTCCAAATGAAATGTGCCAAATGCTGACCGTCAGTAACTTGTAACTATCTATGACCAGTTAGTCAGCAAAACAATGAGCTACACAATTCCGAACTTGGAATCCTGCAGAAACTAAGGGATTAAAAACTATTTTAGCCACTTTGTGTTAGCACACGCAGCATATGCACTTGGTCCCTTACACAAAACTACAGACAACAGGGTTGTAATGAGCCAATTTCAAGACATAAAAAAAGAAGAAACCACTGAACAAAACCGCTCAGTCTCAATTTAGGCTACATCATTAATTACATAAAGAATTCATACTTTTTCATAATTTTCGCTCCAATTACTGTGTACAGTCATTTATAAAAGCTGGTGTTCTCACTGACTCTGAAATTCTTATAAAGACGCCCCAAATTCTGGGCGCAATTATTCTGTCGAGAAAATAATAGAGAAATTCCACATGATATGTTTTCATACAAAAGCAATCAATCAATTGAAAGGAACAAAAATCTGTACTTCCAAAATTTGGCTTTGCCGAGAAATTTATCACTTTTAAACATCGGGGCTCAAAAAACGAATTTGAGCACCATCCACGTAAAGAAGAAAAACAAAACAGATGAAAATTCTTTTGGAAAAAAATCACTTCAAAAGTGGGAAACATTGCATTCATACGTTATATTCATAATTTAAAAACTTGATATTACGGGACATGGCTGTCCTGCTCTGCCAAGTGAACTGAAAGGTTCCATCTAAAAGGTTCTCCCCAAACAATTCAGGTTTCAACAATCAATTTGCAAATCAGCGGTATTAATTTCACAGCGGTGTTTTGTACACTATTCTATGACACATTTGCATTCCTGAAAATGGAGAAGATGGTCGGACTGACACTCGTCTACCCTCACATTTTCAGTGGGTGAAGTGAACAACCAGCTGAGACCAGATTTTCAATTCAGAGGTTGGAGATGGAACAGGTCAACATTTGAAGAAAAAAACCCAAAACAAACACACCAATTTGAACAAATGGATGCACGTAACACAACTCGAACATTACTGACAAAACTTGACACTTGAGGATACATCAATGGCACCAACTGAAGGACACAACAAACCCCTTCATTACCCAGAAAAAAAAAAGTTTGCAACAGAAACCCTCTTGATGCCAATCCCAAGTATTGCAAACAACAATAATCACAACTAGTCAAGAAAACCCCTACAGAGAGTACTGATTCACCAATAAGTGTACCTAGACGGAATGCTAAACAGATAAAACACAACACAATGTACAGACAAAAAAATGTTATCAGTTTCAACAATTTCAAAACACCACACCCTTAACAATTGAGAAGAAACGAGAGAATCAAAGTTATTGAGGAAATATGCCGAGTGTTGGATGATTTGGCAGGGCTCTGTAGAACAGAGATCTAAAGCTCCATCCACACAGGCTTGATCTTTTGGTCTCTTTGCACTGTGGCCCCAGGCTCGATAATTGATTACAGGAGCAAGTCAGTTTCAAGGCATCAACATGTCGAATACAGCAGCACAGCAACGAATATAATCGCAGAAAAAGCCACGACGACGATCAGGAAAAGATATGCTTGAGGCTGGTGTTTGCAGGAATTGGCTGGGATAGAGGTGGGCACGGTTTGGTGAGGGCGTCGGAAGAATCTGTATAAACATCGGCTTTTGTTCCCTTTTTCTCTCTGGGAAAAAAAATCATCGGAAAGCGTGACTTGAGGAGACTAAAGAGAGGCCACTGACATCGTGAATCCCCCAATTTGTCTGTGTTGGAATTGGAATGGATACCATCTAACGGGACTCAGAACAATCAGCACCAAGAGCTTGCCGTGGAGTAGCTTTAGGCCATGTCTGAAATGGGCTTCCAGAGCTATGGCTAGGTCTACTGTCTGCGCTTCTTCGTGTATTTCAAATGGGAGTGAAGACCAGGGCGGTTTTCCAATACTCAACTTGGGCTCCGTCTCAGGCTTCATTTGTCTTTTTACTAGCTGACTTTGAAACTGTAAGTGCAGTAATCAGTCTAATAATGCCACAGAACATCAAACAAGATCCAAGAAAGCCAAGAATGACAGTAATCCAATGTAATTTAAACGCTTCAGGCCCACAATCGGGAATTGGTTTTGGGGACGAAGCCTGAGACGGACACGAAGTCGAGTATTGGAAAACGGCCCTAGCTCTAGACAACAGATTCAGCTGCAGACTTACTGCTTGAAATTTGCAGTGACGGAGTGAAATCAGTGCCTGGTACCAGAGCTTAATGGGACTGATATTTCCAGGTTTTTACGAACCCAAGTCTTGCTACATGAGAGCCCCGTTGAGCCATGCAACACTCAGCATATTGTCGACACTGAGTTCGCTACTACGTGTATCTCAAGATGAAGAATAAGAGACCAGAGAAAAATGAGAGTTATGTTTGAAGTCAACAGCTCTGAAGGCATTACCTTGGCAATGCCCGGCCCGAATTCAACATTAAAATATTCTCATTCATTAAAGTTTCTGTTTTTCCTTTAGTATTTTTTTTTTTTTTTACATGCCTGTACAAGTACAAATCAGATTACACCTAAAAAGTCATAACGGTTGATGACGGAGGCAGGGTCGCCGGGGCCTTCTGAAAAATACGGTGCCGGCGACGGGGGAAAAAATATATTCACATTGCCCCTCGCTCATGACGCCCTTGTGCTACCGCCTGACGATGCTGAAACTGCCACTGGTGCTGGTGTTGGGGGCGGAGCTTCCTGGGGGGAGGTAAGGCATCTCAAACTCCGTCAGCAACGAGAAGTGGTCTGAAGGGACACTGGCGTGCGGACAGCCGACAATCTTTGACTGGAAGAGGAAGAGAAGAGGAAAGGACCAAAAATGGTCAGGAAACTAGTCGCACAATTGGATATGACGTTGTCGACATTTCAAGCTATTTTTCCTCACTTCAAAATCAGTTGTAATCCTCAACAAGGCTTACTGACCATGGTGGCTCTACTTTCTCATTCCATGTTTTTCTAATCATGACCTAAAGGATTCATTTATTCAAGGCGTATACAGTGCAATATGACAACCATCAAATTCCCCGCTCATTTTTTGCTAGGACCTTCTGGAATCTTCCATGATCTTCCAATGGCACTTTCTTACTTATAGAAGAAAGAGGGCTTGGGGATCTACGTTCCTCGATGAAATCTCTGGATTCTGAAGTTTCACGATGCAAATTCACGATTCAGCATTAGAACTGGTTTCAGTAACGATTCAATTAATAATGCTGTGTGATGTGGGAGGGTGACGTGACCTATGCATTAGCATTGGTTTCAGTTACGGTTCAACTGGTAAGTTGGTAAAAGCCTCGTGATACCTGGTCTAACCACTCCTGCTCCACGGGCCCTAACACGCCCAGCGTGGACATGAAGTTGCTGGAGGTGAAAATGTAATCGATGACACCCTTGAACTCGTAGGTGTAGTTGGTGTACTGCATGGGCTGGTTGTGGTAGGCCCGGCGGAGCGAGAAGGGATGGGTGATGTGACCGTTGGACTCTGTGCTGCTGGAGAAGTTGCGCAGAACCTTGTAGTGGATGTCCTTGAAGTCCTCATGGTGGACTGAGACCTTGCCGTTCTCCAAGTACTCCAGGACACCTGTGGAGGCACAGGGGGAAAATATGAAGCACGAGATTTGCAAAAACAGATTACCAGCCAAACTTGTGGCCGGAACTATCCTGCTAAGCAAGATTTGCAACTTAGCTGAAGTATGAAGCTGGGAAAGGTCAGGAGTTGATTCTTTAAACGTGCTCACTTCAGAAATTTGCTAAGCAGAGAAATAATTTGCTTGGCAAAACTGAAGTCAAAGTAGTACTCGATGTGTCCCCTCTCAGCTAAGTTTTGCTAACAAACAGAACAGGCTAACTAATCACACATTTGCTGAAAAATAATTTCTGATTTGTTGCAACTACTAGTTCCTTTCTTCACACGGTAGCCAGAAGCACAGCCACATACAAATACATTGACGTGAAGTTGTGCAAAATGTGGTGAATGATGACATTTTGTTTCCAAAACCTTAGGTTGTTGTGCATGACATGGAATTAATCGATGAGAAAAAGACTGTAAATAACATTGCTTGGAATCAAAGTTAGAGGACTGATTGTGTAATGCATACATGCGCATGTGGATTTTGGAACCAAAATGGCTTCAAACTGGAAGTTGTCACAACTCCCTCTTGACAGACTACACTAACTTCCAGGTACCTGAGTCCGGCAAGGAGTTGAGATCCCCACACAGGACCAGCGGAATCGGGCACGTGTCCTGGGAACGGGGCGTGCCGCCGGGCCGGAAGCTGACCGACTCTTCGTCCATGATCTTCTTGAGCTCGTTCATGAACATGATGGTTTGGATCAACTTGACATCGCTGTACTCCGGGTCCCAGTGGATATGCACGTTGGCCACCAGCATGAGTTGCCGGGCGTTGTCGGGGGCGGGTGCTGGTCAAGGGAAAGGCGGGAGGGAAATGAAGATTTAAACAGCTGAGCCATGAGCATCATCTCTTATAACCTCATCCCATCACCCTGAATCTTCTAATTTCGATACTGTTTTTCACAAGGCCTAAAGTCAGTCTTAATGACAGCGGTCTGAGACCAAGATGCTTCTCATAATTGTGACATGCTGATTTTCAAGTTGAAAGCTCTGATAATGCATTTAGTAGCCAGTGCTTCTCAACCTATGCTCCTTGGGAGCAATTTTGAGCCAATCAGCCAGATATATGCCAGTATTTTCTGCACATAGGGCTTTGGGAATGTCATATCTTATCAGCAAAGACTTGAAGGAAATAAAACTGGAGGTGCCATTTGCATATCAAGGCAATAACCTGGCATTCCTTGAAGTGTGCTCTTTCTAAAATAAGATATAATTTGTTGCTGACCTCCACCGTTGTTGTGTTTTTGAGCAAGGGGCAGTCATGGATAGCAAAAAATTGAAAGGATTTGGATGATGTAACGGACCACTGGATACTGGAAGAAGGCCTGCTGTTTCCGAGAGCTAAATCCAAGACATTGGAAGCTCGTCGGTTCTGCTCCGCTTACCTGAGCTATCGTAGCATCCGGCTCTCGTCTCCAGCAGGACGGCCAGGCCGATGTTATCCTTGGTCATGACTCTGTTCAGCATGTCCTCATTGCCGTCGGCATTTGCCATCGCCAGCTGATTGAACTCTACAAGGTGTTCCTTTACCAAACCGAACCTGGTCCACAAAGAAATAAATGTGACACCGAATATGATACTCACAGGCCATCATCTGTATAGCATCCTTTTTTCAACTGGGTCATACCCTAACAGTGATTGTCCAGGTGGACGAAATCAAATGAAAAATTGCATCGTACTTGCTCGTCCTGAAGAAGATGGCGCAGCCGTCCACGTACTTCCGCTCATGCTCGGACATAGTCTTGGCCCGGGACTTGGGGCTGAAGACGCCGTCGTAGCCGTGCTTGTGCAGGGAGGGGTAGAAGAAGTTGAAGTACTGGTCCGTCTCCACCTCTTGCAGGCAGATCAGGTCGGCGCTGGCATGCAGGATCTCGTCCATGATGCCCTTGCGCCGGTAGTCCCAGCTCAAGGCCCAGGTCGGGCAGTAGCCGTACAGCTGCTTGGTGGCGTACTTGTCGCACAGGACATTGTAGCTCATGACCGAGAATATTGCTGGAGCGGGGAAAATGGGAAGAGAAATGGTCCAACAACCAGATGACAACTCCACACAGGGGGGTGTGGATTGGCACCTGTTGCTCGAAACCAATCTAACAACTAACTATTAAAGCAACTTGTCACGATAAGAAAGAGAATTATTTCAAAAAGGTTTCATTTAAGAAGTGGCTACACAGAAGCCAGAACACGCAAAATGCTCCAATAGATTTCGCGGTGGGTTGCTTTAAAGGTAACCAAGTATCTGTGTTTCATTTCAATGGCGTACTTGGTTCCTTCAGTATCTACAAATGCACACCACAGTCTTCACCAGGTGAAACCATTTAGGCAAACATCAGACATTTTTTGGCCATTTACCATATTTGTCTGAACAAAAAGTGATATTAATATACATGTACTAGCACCTGTAACTATATCATAGGCAAAATACTGAGAAAGCTCAATGCATTGAACACGCTACCAAATCAGTTCAATGAAATGTAAAACTACTTCATCTGGATCCTGGACTTGCACTTCCCTTTTTTCCCCTTTTCCCTCGCTTTGAATTTGGTTTTCCGGATACTTGATCCCTTTGACCTTACTCACCAGAGTGGCTGGCCCGAATGCCAAGGACACTTGAAACTCTCCTCCCCCCCCCAATTTAATGAAGCATGCACAATACATGACTGTAACGCAACACCTTCACACTGCAACACTGGGTCGAGTAGAATCTGAACACTGATCTTTACGACTGGACCAGCACTCACGGGGCTACCGTGTACAACGGTTATTGTTTTGACGGCGATTTGTTGGACTGTGCAACTCTTTTCTCTCATTGTTTGCAAATTTTGTACAAGGCACGTACCATACAAAGCTAAAAGTTGAGTTCTTTGGTTCCGGTCTCAATTTACCATTGCCTTATTTGTAAACTAATGTAAGCACTGCCCCTGATCAGAACAAACAGGATGAGTAGGACCTTTCATTTACTTTTTAACCCTGACAGTATCGGGTGTTGTTTGGCTTAGTGTACTCAGTACTACAAAATACAATGTAACACTCTGAGCCCGAAGGACCTAGCGCTACAGATTACTATTTCTGGCTAGGTTTATTCCATTGTTACTCGTACAGAGAACAATGAAACCATGCAATCATAGTGCCACAGCACTGTATGGTACATTGTCTTCTCTATTGTATTTTATGGCTTCAGAGAATAATAATGCCACGTCCTCTTACAAGCGACAGGGCTGAGTACTACGTTTTGCTACTAAGTAGTACTCTGTAGCATTCGGGACTGTTAGGGTTAAGAAGGTAACCTGAAAATTCAAATCTTGGGGGTCAGGTTGGCATAGTGGTTCTTTCCTCGCTTCCACCTCTGTGGTCCAGGGTTCAATTCGCGGCACGGTTCACATGTGGATTGGGTTTTCAGTCCCTGCCTGATTTCTTGGGTTTTACTCAGAATATTCTTCTGGGGTTTTCCTCCCACCTCTAAAACTGTAACTTCTTCTCAGTGTCTCCTCTCTACAGATTTCTTCAAGCTTTCAAGCTACGGTGCCTACGGCACTTTTGAAGAGCCCTTGGTTTCATTACCAGAAAGACTTGAATAATTACATTTTTAAAAATAAATAAATATGCAATGTGCAGCATCATGCATCCAACTTTTCTGAAAACTGCATTTCAGGACCTCATATACCTACATACATGCAAAGACTGCTGGGCCTATTTCCTATTCACATAAACTTACTTGAACTTGGAGTAAGGGTGGGGCGTTCACACGTTAAAATGAAAAAAGTTTAAACCCGTTAACAGATTTTGCCAAACGCTTGAATGGAACGGTCGCTTTTAGAGGTTTGATGTTTTGATTGATGCAATCTGAGGTCCATTTTTATAAAAACGATGTTATACTGTTTTTCCCCCTTTCGGCATCCATGTACTTTTTGAGAACAAAAAAAGGGATTCTAAAGCTAATGCCCCAATATCAATCTACATTTTTACATTGGTTGGTCCATGTGCATTGTTTAACTATATAATTATATGAAAACCCCGAGATAGGCAGTGGTGGCCTCTGTAAAGTGTTGGTTAAATGTTTAAATGTTTAAACGGTAATGGGAAAGTTTTCTAAACAGTTTTCGAATTAAACGTAAATTCCCACTCTCAACTGGGAGAGGGTCAATTCAGTGAAAAATCTAAAAGCAACACCTACCAGCTGGCCTTGACCTGTCAGGGTCGTTGATGTGAATCCATGGTCTCGTTGGGGGTAATGTGTTGGGGGCTACAAAAAGATAGAATCCCAAAAAACGGACTAATGTAAGGTCATGTTGAGAGATGAGATGCAGGGTTTACCAAGTCATTCTTTCACCTTACACACACAGGGGGAATGTGACAGCAATGTTCTCATCATGTCATGGATTCCAGGAAGCCAAGGATACAACCAATCCCACACTTGTCATCTGTTTCTATTTAATCATGACTGCATACTTCTTAACCCTAACCCCTCCCCCACGGGTTGCTGGCCCTAACCTTCCCCATTCACACAAAGTTCAACACCCATATGGGACTTGGTGCACGGAGGCTGTTGGACTTTGTTTTTCTTGAGGTATGCCAAACCTAATGCAAAAGCCAGCTGTTATGGGCCTACCAGACCTATCCCCACAGAATTACACACTTTGCTACTGTTTAATTCTGTGTGGTTGGGGAAAGTTAGGGCGAAGGCCCATTTAAATGTACATGTGTGTCCTTTAATACAGGCGTTTCACAATAGTGCGCCTCCAAGAGTTCGCAATGCGTTGACCAATCACAGTGTGCGAAATCTGTCAACCCAATGTGCATTTGGAAAGCGTCGACAGATTTTAAGCCCTGTGATTGGTCAACACATTTCAAACTCCTGGAGGCACACTATTTTTGAATCGCCAGTATTAACGGAGCAGTGAAGGTCAGAGGCAAGACGAACGCACCGAAAAATGACGCTTTTTCAAATTGAAACCTGATACAGCAAGCAGGACATGTAAATTCACGAGCATATTTGTGTGATGCAAGATGTGTTCAACAGACCAATACTGTTCATGTTGTACATCACTTCTATTTAACACTTCCGGCAGTATTAACGCCATGGGTTCACCTCAGCAATGGGACCTCACACTAACAGAATCAATAACCGTGTATGTAGCGCATGCATGTGTTCAAATCTAGGACACCTGTTTTCACACTGTTATATATGATATATAGGATATATGCAAAATCCATGTACTGAGCTTGGAACAGAGGCTGTACTGAGCGTAATTAATTATGCTCAACATTTGGAGTTCCATCAACTGTTTGCAAATTTACATGAAAAATTTAAGTGCAACAAACTCTTTTTCATTTTCTTTAATAAGGAAAACAAAATAACAACTTTTCCACTTAAGAACAACTCAACTGCAGAATTCAGTGGCATATAAGCTCATCAAAAGGGTTAAAATATACAAGACTCTTGACATGACAAAATATGCTCCCAGAATTTCACTGACTGCCAATGTTTTGTAACTCTCAGTACAAACATATACTTCTCTCTGTAAAGCTAAACTCTCTTTCAAAAGAAGACTCCCATTGCCTGTTTAATTTTATGAAACAGTACGGTGCTGGTCAATGCCCATGTACAAGGGTTTACTACACATAGCCCCCACTCTCCAGCGCAAAGGAAGTTAACGTTGACAGCGAGTCAATTTTTGTTTAGTCAAGACGAGGACAAACAAAATTTGCCAAGTAAACTTACGGCTGATGTTGTCAAGCATGTAGGACAGTAACCTGGGGGTGCCGTTGTGCTCGTTGTAAATGCCAAGTACGTCAGAGTTCAGGGGGTTCCCCTTAAGGCCGAGGACCTGCAGCTGGAACAGCCGGCCCATCTCAAAGGGCAGGCTTCGCAGGTAATTGTTATTCAGTAGAAGTTCCCTGTGGGAGAGGTGCAACAACAAACCACCAGTGAGACTCGCATGGATTCGCATGTTTACATGACAAAAAGGAAGATGGTCATACCAAGAATCGTTAGGTTTGCATGTAAATACATGTGCCTACCTGTACATGAACATGTCACTTTTTTTTAACCTTGTTTGGACAATTAAAATCCCTATTTCGTAGAGAGGTGGGAAGAAGAAATCTGACAAAACAGTTGCATGTACCTCCCTCAACAGAAGCTCAATAAAATCTTTTAAATGTCTTTTTCAAATGCCTGCCATTTGCCGATCCGTTTAACTGCTCTTACATTTCCAGTGTAAACATACTGAACTCTCCCATCCAAACAAATGCCCTTTGGGTTGAATGGAAAAAAGGACACAGGTATCGTACATCTGCACATGTACTACATGTATTTCCCCATACAAGAGCCTCAATTCTCCACTTTTCATGTCATTAAGCTGGTACACAGACTGCCATTTACAATTATCAGTGCACCTACTGACGGTGCTGGGTAAGCTATTTTAACGATGAGGAACATTTTATATTGCGCAGATACTATAAAAATATACTCAACTGCGCATAACAATACCCATCACTAGCAGAGATGAAAATCAGGTGTTGGAAAAAGCTTCATGAAAGAGATGAGTTTTTAGAACAATCTTGAATATGTCGACAGATTTAGCATTTTTTACATGAAAGGGCAGGTTGTTCCAAAGCCTAGGAGCAGTGCACGGTCTCCAAAGTTGCCTTAGTTCTACGATAGGGATGACTAAGGATCAACCTGTCCTGTGAGCTGCGAAGACTGTACCTATGTGACTGGGATTTTCACATTAATACAATCAATTCATCAATCCAATAGTTATGTCTATGCCCATACATGTACACAGTTGTAGTGAATAAATTTCCTTTGATTGAGCACTCAGCACGAAGGAATTAAAAGTGTGGTAACCTGTTTTAACCAATTCCTGCCGGGGGGGGCTCTGGGATCGGAGAGGTATGGTTTAAATGGGTGGCCGGGGTCTCCGAACTCGGACAAAGGAAACAGGGCCCTGTAACAAAAGATTGCACTCCGAACAAAAGACCAGGCTGCTGGGCATTACCGGTATTTTTCACTCTCAAAAGTGGTGATAATCCAGCCTTATTTTGAAACCCTATACTAGGGTTTGGGGCATTGAGAGCGAGCGGATTACCACCGGGGCCAAAAGCGCTCCACCACCGCAGTGATGA